AAAGTTTGGAGAGGAGCTGAAGGGATAAGAGGGAGTGCCCAAACAAGGAAGGAAGTATGGAGAAGAAGGAATTAGAAATGGAAATGCAAGAACACGTAGAAAATGGGGAAAGAAGTCTGAAAAAAAGGAGGGAGCAGGACACGAGCAGAAAACGAGATGGAATGGGAAGAGCAAAAAGGGATATAGACTCACAACTCTGAATATTTGACAAATACATATTGTAAAAGCACAGCTGAGAAGGAAATAGAAAAAAAGAAAAGTACAGACAGCATAACCAAGCAGATCCAAAGCTACAATTGAGGGGAATGTTTAAAATATTGGTACTATATTCTTCTTATGTTTTACTATCAACATGCATTTTAAAAGTACTTGGTGTGCTTAAGTATTTTATAAATTCTAGATATAAGTCCCTTGTCTGACATGTCATTACCAAATATTCATTCCAAATCTGTGTTTCCCTTTTTCACCCTATTGGAGAAGTTTTTGGATGTGCATAGGGATTTGATTCTTAGAAGGTCCCATCCATCTATTTTATCCTCTCCTGGTTGTAGGTATTTTTAGGATGCTTGGAAGACTGTTTATGTTGTAAATAGGACTTCTAGGGTTATTCCAAGCTTTTCTTTAATGACATTTATACTCCTTGGTTTTAGTCCTAGGTCCATGATCCACTTTGAGTTACTTTTTGTATATGGAGTGGGTTGTGGATCTTGCTTGAGTTTTCTGCAGATAGTTTTCCAATTTTGCCAAAACTATTTGTTAAAAAGGCAGTCATTTCCTCATTTGACTGATTTCATCTCCTTGTCAAAAATCAGTTGATCATAGGCAGATGGGCTGATTTCTGGATTCTCAATTCTATTCCATTGATCTATGTGTCTCTCATTGTACCAGTACCATGCTGTCTTGACCACCATGGCAATGTAGTAGGATTTGAAATCAGGGAGTGAGACGCCTCCTATCTTAATTCCCTTTTTATGGAGCGTTTGGCTTATTCAGGGCCACTTTCCATTCCAAATGAAATTGGAGATAGCCTTTTCCATCTCGTTGAAGAATGGAACTGGTATTTGCATTGGCAAAGAATACTTTCAGATGACCAAAAAACACATAAAGAAATGTTCAAAATCCCTAGCTAATCAAAACTACTGTGACATATTTATCATCTCACCCCAGTAAGAATAGCAACATTTAACAGAACAGCAAACAACAAATTCTGACGAGATTGTGGAGAAACTGAAACACTTTTCAGTTGGTGGGAGTGTAAAATGGTACAACCACTTTGGAAGGCTGTATGGCGCTTTCTCAAAGGGTTGCAGATAGACATACCATTTGAGCCAGCAATTCCACTTCTGGGAATTTACCCTAAAGAAACCATAACTGCCACCCAAGCAGATATATGCACACCCATGTTTATTGCGGCTTTGTTCGCAATAGCAAAGAGCTGGAAACAACCCAAGTGTCCATCCACAAATGAATAGATAGAGAAGCTCTGGTATATTCACACAATGGAATACTATACAGCACGGAAAAACAAGGAACTCATGAAATACTATGAAAAATGGATGACCCTAGAGGACATTATGCTGGGTGAAATATCTCAGTCACAAAAGGACAAATATTGCATAGGGCCACTATTGTAAAACAACAGTGACATTGAGACAGAGAAGAAGGGGAGGAATGATGTACACTGCATTGAAACAGATAAGAGAGAGGACTGTTTAAAATGGATATGTGATTGGGTATTATTGTCATGACAGGAGTCCAGAATGAAGGCTGCAGAGTGCAATAGTCTGGGGGGGTGGTGTGGATTGCATAGCAATGAAAGTGAATTAGGGGAGAGGGGGTGGGCAGGGAAGAAAGTGCAAAAATGAGTGACTGGAAACCCTAAGTCTCTGTAAACTTTCATTAAATTCAATTTTAAAAAAGAAAGAAGAAATGGAAAACTTACTTGGTGTATATTTTTTATTCAGGTTTCCATGAACATATGTGAAGGAGCTGGGAAAGATTTTGATGTCAAATAAAATTTGAAGGTGAATCAGTAAGGCTAGTGTACTGAAAGGAACTTCTCCCACTGGGAGAGAGGGAAAAGAGAAACATATTGTAACCATAATGTAAATAGCCAGCTTGAAAGAATAATTTTAAAAATGTATCCAACATCCTTACAAATCAGTCCAAAAGAACAAAATTTGTCCAAATGCAGACACTTTTAGAATGGAAATATACTGCCGAATCAAAGGTCACATCTCTCTTCAAATCCACCAGCAGCTCCTCAGGTTGTAGGTGGGCAGTTTCCTTCTGATCAGTTCACAGACACGGAAGACTGTTAAAGGGCCAGCTATGAGGAGATTCTGACTCAACAGCAATGAGTTTCTTGCTTTAGATTTTGAACTATAATTAGAACACAGGTTTCCAGTTCCTTTTCCATTATTCTTTTTTGCTACAAAATGGATCTTGACTGAAATCAGAGAATACCATAGATGTTTACTTGTGTTTTATTGATTATGCAAAGGCAACTGAACTAGACTGTTTAAAGCAAGGAAAAGTATGTGTCAGTGTTGTACCTTTTCTCCATATCTACTCAATCTGTATACTGAGAAAATCAATACATTAACTGGACTATATGAAGAATGTACCATCAGGATTGGAAAGACTCATCAACAACCTGCCTTATGCAGATGATGCAGTCTTGCTTGCAAAAATGGAAAAATAGAATGAAGGCTGCATAGTAGAGTGGACTTGAGGGGAGGGATTCTATAACAATGAAAGAATTTTTCTTTTACTTTTCAAAGAAAAGAGCAAAATGGGGAGAGGGGTGGGCAGGGAGAAAAGTTCAACAATGAATGAATGCAAATCCAAAGTCTCTGTAAATTTTCATTAAAATTAATAATAATTTAAAAATGGAAGAATACTTGAAGCACTTAACTGCAGAGGATCAAAGACTATAGCTTTCAATATTAATTGCATCTCTACATCAAGAAAACAAAAATCTTCACCACCAAACCAATAAGCAACATGATAGATTATTGCTAAAGCCAAGGAAATACAGGCAAATGTCTCTTAGTTAGCAATTGAAACTGCCAGCTGAACATCAAGTTCATATGAATAATGACTGCATGATGGTTTGATTGCATTTTTGGAAAGGAGAAAACAGAGTCTGGCCTTTTAAGAACAACAAAAAAATAATTAAGTGGTGGTAGAAAAATTAAGTGATAGCAAGACTTAAAAGAGATGTTGAGGATCAGGAGTGAGGTGGGAATGCTACTGCCTTACAGAGGTCAGTGCAAGGGCAGCCACAATCTTATGCTCTTTACTTTTTCTCTAGTATTTTCCTGTGCTGTCATAGGCTAAGAAAAGGAAGTGCTCCTATAAAGATCATCTAAATACTTGAGTTCTAAGTGCTTAGTCTCCTGCCAGTGTAGGAAGCCTCTCAGTTTCTCTACCCCAGTTCATTGCTGATCGTTTAGTCATAGCTACCACCTTTACTGTCTAGACAGGTTGATTGTATGCAAAGGAGGGTGTGGGTATTGTGCACATATATACCTTTTGATTATTAGAAATGATAGCTAGCATATATAGCACTCTTTTGTCCCTTGCATCTTTTTCCTTAGGAATCAGTCAAAAGTCAAGTCAAGCTCATTATCATCAAGTCAGAAATGACTCATAGTTGATCTTCCAGTGGCCTTCAGAGGGTTTAAGTTGCATGGGAGGAGATTTCCCATTTTTCTGTCCAAAACATTGTTGGTAGGTGCCAAAATTCCTATTTTATAAATGAAAAAGTGGTGTAACTACTTACTGCAAATCCATTGATCATGCAAAGGCACTTGACTGTGTGAATCACAATAAACTGTGGCTAACTCTGAGGAAAATGGGAATACTAGTACAATTGAGTATGCTTATGTGAAACCTTTACTTGGACCAGGAGGCAGTTGTCAGAACAGAGCAAGTAAACACTACATGGTTCAAAATTGGGAAGGGTGTACGCCTGGAGTGTGTCCTATCTCCATACCTTTTCAATCTATATGCAGAAACATCATCCAGGAGGGTGGGCTCTATAAGAAGGAATGTGGCATTAGGATTGGAGGAAGACTCATCAACAACCTACGTTATGCAAATAACACAAACTTGCTTACTGAAACTTAGGAGGACCTGAAGCACTTGCTGCAGTAGGTCAAGGACTGCAGCCTTAAATATGGATTGAAGTTCAACATTTAAAAAAAAATAGATTCTCAATTCTCAATACTGGTCTTATTGGCAGCATCATGATAGACAGTTAAAAGATTCAGATTGTTAACCGTTTTAGTTTGCTTGGCTCCACAGCCAACAGTCTTGGTACCAGCCTCCAGGAAATTTTTAAGAGATGAATTGCATAGGGAAAGTCTGCTGCCAGGGACCTCTCCAGAGTACTGAAGAACAACAATGTCAGTCTGGAGACTAAGGTGCACCTGATCCAGGCCATAGTCTTTGCAATTACATGCTATGAGTCAGAAAGCTGGACAATGGATAGGCATGATAGAAGGAGAGTTGATGTCTTGAGCTGTCGTGTTGGAGATTATGAACATACCATGGACTGCTAGAAGAACAAAAGGGTTCATTCTGGAAGCAAGGATTCTGAAACTCTGACATACTTTGTTCATGTTGCAAGGAGGGACTAATCCTTGGAGACCAATCATGCTTGGGAGGGTAGAGGGACAGTGCAAGAGAAGAAGACCCTTGATGAGATGGACTGACTCAGTGACTGAGATAATGGGGAGGTGTGTCAGAGATAATAATGTTGTCATAGGATAGAGAAGGGTTCAGAGCTGTTGTACACAGGATTGCTATGAATCGTGGGCGACTTGACAGTATATAACAACGGCAAATTCCATTCCCATACTATCCTGCCTCCCCAAAGTAGCACTATCTTCTGGAAGATCAGGGGTCTGGGATAAATTCCTTAGTGTGGACATCCATGCTTGGCTTGCTCCTCTAGAGGCCATTATAAAATCCACACTATGGACTGTGCATACCTTGGGGTCTTCTTTCACCCCCAGGAAGAGGTCGTCCTTGAGTGCTTTTTGGCAATGTTCACATGTGCAATCAAAGTAGTACTGCCTCCGCAACTGCTGTTTGCGGTCTTCACTGATGCTGAGGAAGTCAATATAGGACACAGTCAGCTCTTCTCCTGCTGAGATCTTGCCCAGGGCTCGTAGCTCAATCCTGGAACAGGGTGAAGAAAAAGAACAGAGCAAATCAGGGGTCCCAGAGTGGGATATCTGCTCTCTCAGGTTTCAAGGGCAGAGTCTCAAAGATAGTATCTTTTCCAGACACTTTACAAAACCCCATCACCACAAAAAAACAAGGGAGAGGGAGATGTGCCCTGAAAGACCATATGCTGGATCGTTGCATTTTAATCAATATAGTAACCAGATCTGCTCCAATCACTTAGTCCCTTTGAAATAATTTGGAAAAACTCCTGGTAAAAGGAATGACTTAGTTATGAAATGACACTCAGCATTCATGCTTGGCATTACCTCTGTAGATTTAACCACCGGTGTCAACAACAGAAGTTGAAAATAGGAAGGCAAAATGGCAGGGAAAGCCAGGTCCCCGCGACCCCCAGGAAGAGCCACGCTGGCCTGCAGCAGCTCCCCAGGAGCTTTGTGCTGCCCTGCTAGATATTATTGTGGTGGGAGGGGGTCCCTCGGGTCAATCCAGGAGCCCCACTCGCCCCTGCAGATTGACTGGACTGTAAAGCATTTTAACACTACTCAGGACTTCGCTGAGGATAATTTTTACATTTTTTCTCGAGAGAAAGATCTGAATCTACCAAGTAGTTCTGAAAGTAAGCCTTTGTGTGGGTTATCCATATGGATGTTTTCATGAAGAGGAGTGAAAAGCCAGAGGGCTATAGACAGATGAGGTCAAAGACTTTTCCAGCCTGTAATTATAATGGCAACATCAGGCAAATGTTGTAAGAAATTCAGGAATCCCTTAGGAATTTATCCAAGCCTTCTGATGCTTCTAAAGCTGAGCATAATGTGAATAAAATGCCTGTAGAAGATCCTCAACAAGAGAGAAATCCACCTAAATTTAGGACATATCATAAAGCCTTACAGGAAATTCAAAACATTCTACAACCATTTGCAAATGAAACAAGTTCTTCCTGGAGTACTTCAGAAATTAATGCACAAAAGTTCCAAGATTTGCATGCTGCTGGATTTGATGAGGATATGGTTATACAAGCTCTTCAGAAAACAAATAACAAAAGTATAGAAGCAGCAATTGAGTTCATTAGTAAAATGAATTACCAGGATCCTCAATAGGAGGAGATGACTGCAGCAGCAGCCAGGCCTGGCAATCCCAACATGAAGCCAGGATTTGTACAACAATCAGTCATAAACAAAGCTGGAAAGGTTCCAAAGAATCTTTAGTTCCTCAGAGACATGGCCCAGACCTGGGAGATGCTGTGGTATCATTTGGAAAGTCCCAACCTGCAGCCTGACATAGGAAGACCTTAGTCGGGATCTGGCATAGCAGTGTTTTCTCAGACTCACCCTACAAACGGACAGAGAGTAACCACCCTGCAACCACCTCAAGTAAGGAGGGTCACTCCTACACCCCCTCCAAGAGGCCAGACTCCCTCCTCCAAGAGGTAAAACTCTTCCTCCTCCCTCATGGGAAGCAAACTCCCAAAGTGCTATTCTGGTAACTCTTTCCTGTTCCTGTTCCACCTGGGCTGTGGCAGGAGGGCTATCCTTGACTACGTCTTAACACTTGAATCCTCCCAGTCAGGGACAGAGAGGCATGAGTTCCAGACAGCCAATCATCATGCAGGGTTCTAACAAATTTAACTTTCCATCAGGAAGGCCTGGAACTCAGAATGAGAATGGTCAAACTGACTTTTTGATACACCAAACTTGTCCCTATTGGTGCTGTGAATTGACAGCCACCCCCTCCATATCCTTTGGCCCCAACTAATGGACAGAGCCCTTCGGCTTTACAAACAGAGGGACCTGCTGCTCCTTTATCATATGTTGTCATTAAGTGCCATTGAGTAGCAGGCGACTCATAGCAACCCTATGAAGGAGAATCCCCAACGCTCCTTTATCATATACGAATGGAAATAGGTTGGAATGTAAAAGTTGGGAGCAGAGAAGAAGAATCAGTAGTTGGAAAACATGGGCTCTGGGACAGAAATGAAGTTGGAGATAGAATGATTGAATTTTGCACAATTAATGACTTATTCATTGCAAATATGTTTTATAAGAAACATAAATGCAGATTATACACATGGATTTCACCTGATGGTATGCATAGGAATCAGATTGATTACATCTGTGGGAAAAAACCACTGGAAAAGTTCAGTATCAGCTGTGAAAACTAGGCCAGGAGCTGATTGTGAAACAGACCACCAATGACTCATTTGCAAATTAAAGCTGAAGCTGAAGAAAATGAAACCAAATCCACAGGAACCAAAATATGACCTTGAGTCTATCCCACCTGAATTTCAGAGCCATCTCAGGAGCAGGTTGGAGGACTTAAACACTAATGAGCGAAGACCAGATGAGTTGTGGGAGGATATCCAGGAAGAGTGCAAAAGGTCATTACAAAGACAGGGGAGGAAGAAAAGACAAAAATGGCTGTCAGAAGAAACTGAATATTGCACTGGAGCACAGAGAAGCCAAGGCAGAAAGAGCTGAACAGGAGATTTCAAAAGACAGCGCGGGATGACAAAGTAAACTATTACAACGAAATGTGCAAGGAACTGGAGTCAGAAAATCAAAAGGGCCAAACTCGCTCAGCATTTCTTAAGCTCAAGGAGCTGAAGAAACAATTCAAACCTCAAGTTACTATAATCAAGGATGCTTTAGGCAGAATATTAAATGACCCAGGAAGTATTAAAAGAAGATGGAAAGAATATATTGAGTCACTGTAACGAAAGAAATAGGCAGAAATAGAAGAATTTCATGAAACAACATATAAGCAAGAGCCTATGGTGATGAAAGAAGAAGTTCAAGCTGCTTTGAAAGAAATAGCAAAAAATAAGGCCCCAGGAATAGATGGTATACCAATTGACCTATTTCAGCTAAGAGATGCTGCCCTGGATGTGCTCACCAAGTTGTGTCAAGAAATCTGGAGAACAACCGCTTGGCCAACTGACTGGAAGAGATCTGTATTTGTTCCCATCCCAAAAAGGGTGACCCAACAGAGTGTGGAAACTATAGAACAATATCCTTGATTTCATATGCAAGCAAGATTCTGCTGAAGATTATTCAAAAATGACTGGAACAGCACATCAGCAGAGAACTACCAGAAGTCCAGGCTGGGTTTAGAAGGGATTGTAGTACTAGGGATATTGCAGCTAATGTTAGATGGATCTTAGCTGAATGCAGGGAATAGTAGAGGAATGTCTATCTGTGTTTCATTGACTATGCAAAGGCTTTTGACTGTATGGATCATAACAAACTGTGGATGATTCTGAGAAGAATGGAAATCGACTGTATGGATCATAACAAACTGTGGATGATTCTGAGAAGAATGGGAATCCCCGAACACTTGATCGTGCTAATGCTAAACCTATACTTGGACCAGGAGGCAGTCATCAGAACAAAGCAAGGAAACACTGCATGGTTCAAAATTGGGAAGGGTGTACACTAGGGATGTGCCCTATCTCCATACCTTTTCAACCTGTATGCAAAGCAGATTATCCAAGAGGCTGGGCTCTATGAGGAGAAATGTGGCATCAGGATTGGTGGAAGATGTGTTAACAATCTCCGTTAGGCTGATGACACAACCCTGCTTGCTGAAACTGAGGAGGACCTGAAGTGCTTGCTGCAGAGGGTCAAGGACTGCAGCCTTCAATATGGATTTACGTTCAATATAAAGAAGACAAAGATTTTCACCACTGGACCAATTGACAGCATCAGGATGGATGGTGAAGAGATTGAGATTGTTCACAACTTTAGTTTGCTTGGCTCCACAGTCAACACTCTTAGCACCAGCAACCAGGAAATTAAAAGATGTATTGTGATGGTAACGTCTATTGCTAGGGACCTCACCAAAGTACTGAAGAGCCATGATGTCACTCTGGAGACTAAAGTGCGCCTGATACAAGCCATGGTCTTTGATATCAGTTGTTATGCTTCAGAGAGTTGGACAATGACTAGGGAGGATAGAAGAAGAACTGATGCCTTAGAGCTGTGGTGCTGGAGAAGAGTATTGAATGTACCATGGGCTGCTAAGAAAACAGACAGATTCATTCTGGAGAGGGTTCAATCAGGTTGCTCCTTGGAGGTAAAGATTCTGAGGCTTAGTCTAACATACTTTGGACATGTTGCAAGGAGGGACCAGTCCTTGGAAAGGGACGTCATGCTTTGGAGGGTGGAGGGACAGTGCAGGAAGGGAAGCCCCTTTATGAGGTGGATTGATTCAGTGACAGGGGTAATCAGGGTGGGTGTGTTGGAGACAGTGAGATTGGCAAAGGACAGAGCAGGGTTTGGGACTGTTGTACATAGGGTTGCTATGAGTCACAAGTGACTTGATGGGACATAACAACAACAACAAAAATGATGGTGCCAAACTGAAATAGTCACAATATGGAACTTTATAACATTAATGTACCTAGAACCACTTGACCTCTGTTATCGTCTACTCCAGACCAATCATCCCCAAGCAGTGGCCATGAAATTCCAACATGGCAGCCGAACATACCAGTGAGGTAAAATTCTTTTGCTAATCCATTGGGGAATCAAAGAAGTCGCTACTAATTCTCAGCCTTCAGCTACAACAGTAACAGCAGTTACACCAGCTTCTATTCAACAACCTGTGAATAGCATTTTTCTATTAAAGCCAGAACTCCAGATTGCTTCCTGAATCCTACATCCTATTCAGACTGTTCAGCCCGATCATTTTTCTAAGGAATTTAAAATGTGACTGTTATGGCACTTGTGGCTGAAGCTCCAAGCTATCCAGGCTCACCACCACCTTATCCTGAACATCTGCTACACCAGAACCCATCTGATCCTCCATATGAATCAATAAATAAACCTAACAAAGAGGATCAACCTAGCTTACCCAAGGAAGATGAGGACGAAAAAAGTTACAAAACTGTTGATAGTGGAGATAAAGAAAAGAAACAGATTACAACTTCACCTATTACTGTTAGAAAAAAAAACAAGAAAGATGAAAGGCGAAGGGAATCTCATATTCAGAGTTAC